TGGCATTCCATTCTCAGGATCAGCAACTGCTGCTCAGGCAGACCACTGCAGACTCATGTCAAGATGTTAGCCTAACTTTCAGAGTCCATATTCCTGATGACAAGGTTGAGACAATGCTGTTTTCGGACCGACTCTTACAGTAGTTCCGTTCGCCCTGCTGGGGACATCTGAACTAGCCAGATGATTTCCAACCCAGAGGTGTCTTTTTCTCTCTGAAGGCTGTGAATGGGCCGGTGACTGACTCAGGTGAGGTGAGCCTGCAGAGTAACACTGAAGGTGAGGAGAGGAAGGTTCTTCCTTCTGTAGCCACATCTCTGAAGGACCTGCACACTCCTCTTTGGTGTGCAGTCCTGGTTTGGGATGTCACTTTGCTCTACCTTGGCTCTGCCTGCCATCTTCGAATCCTCAGTGGCTGTGGCTTTTATTCTGTTTTTGCCAGCTTGTTTTCTCACTAAAAAATGTTAATTTTAAGATTTCTAGGCAGTTTTTTCAAGTGCATTCGGGTGTGTGTGGATAACAGTCTACACAGAGAGACCTCAAGCATTTACTCAATGCGAATTCACAGAATAGTCATCGTCCCTTAGGACTTACTGATGATGACAGATCCTTAGGTTGTAATTCTTTGTGCTACAAGCAACTAACTCTGATTTATAACCTCAAATGTCCAGAGCAACTGCATGACTCAGTGCCTTGGCTCAGCATGCTGTTCGGAATGGTTTGCTGATCAGCACGCAGAAATTAGTGGGTTTTGAAGGGGATACCATGCCCAGGGACAGCAGGTGAGCAAGTTCAGCCATTCATGCTTCATCCCTTTGGGATTAGACTGCTGTCAGCATGGCTTCCCTGTGCTGTCACTGCTGTTTTCCTCCACGCCAATATGCAGACCATTTCAGCAGAGGAGCTCAAGCAGTTCCCAGGAGTTTCAGCTGCTGTGCCTTGCCAGGCTGTTCCCCAAACATGTTTGGCAGCAGAGGCCACCACAGTACCCCCTTACTAAGACATTTCTGTTCATAGTTTTTCTTGCAAAGCCAAGTACATCCCCAGTATGCTGTGTTGGAGGAAGCTCTGCAGGACCACAGACCTGCGCCTGCCTCACTGGCACAGCCCCAACGGAGAGATCTGGGAGGGTGAGACAAGAGTAGTAAGCAGCTATCCATCTAGCCCTGTCCCTCTGAAATGCCCACATGCCACCTTACACTCTGTGTTGCACACATTGGAACATGCCTCTGCAGAAGGAAAAGCCTTTTGGTGAATACGTGTGGCTTGGTGAGAGCTCTGCCCTGGAAGAGCACTGACTCTGGCAGCCTAATTTCAGTTCCTGCACGTGATTTCCCACAGCACTATTCATGTTTCAGTGTGGCTGCGTTTTCATTCTTTCTCCCAACAAGGCTCCTAGGAAGACCCCATTACTTGGTGAATGCACCTAGTTGTTGCACCAGATTTTGCAGTGCAGTATGATCATGATTACACTGTGTTTAGGCCTTCCAAATTCACCTGGGCTGCAGTGCCAAACCTTCCTCAGCAAAGACCTTCAAAGACCTTCAGTAGACTTGTCAGCTTATTGCTCATGTTACAACCAGTATCTTACCATATTTATATTATTGAGCCTATTCTAAGTGTGAGAGAGTGAAGTTTATGAATGACTAATTTTTACCTGCTTGGATAAACTTACTCATCACAAAAATGTACTTGGAGAAATCTCTAAGGAGGCATGTGTCTCCAGCATTTTCACTCTCCTTGCAGCACAACCTTGCACAACTGTTCTTTCCTGCTAAGCCCTGAGCATGGCTTGCTGCACCAGCAGTCTCACGTTGCCCATTTTTTCCCCAACAGTGCTCTTAGAGGCTCTTTATTGTGCTCTCACTCAGCTGAAGCAGGGAAGCCTTCGAGCTACTGTGCCAAGCACTAAAGACACCCAGGAGAAAGCAGCCACACTTGCCTGGAGACGAGAAGCTTCTCCTGTGTCTGGTGAGACACGACAGGCTCTATTTCAGGTATAGGTCAGGGCCAGGGGGAACCGTGTCTTGCTTTTAGTGTTGCAGAGACTTTTCCTGAGCATGACCCATAGAATTATAGAATGGTTTGGGTTGGAAGGGACCAACAGGTAAGGATCATCTCATTCCAACCCCCCTGCCATGGGCAGGGACACCTCCCACCTGACCAGGTTGCTCCAAGCCCCATCCAGCCTGGCCTTGGACACTGCCAGGGAGGGGGCAGCCACGGCTTCTCTGGGCAACTTCTTCCCATGTCTCACCACCCTCACAGGAAAGAATTTCTTCCTAATATCTAATCTAAATCTCCCCTCATTCAGTTTAAAGCCGTTATCCCTTGTCCTATTACTATGTGCCCTTGTAAAAAGTCCCCCTCTGGCTGTCCTTTAAGTAGCCCCCCTTTAAGTACTGGAAGGCTGCTACAAGGTCCACCTGGGGGACACACTTGTGGGGACACAGGTTAACAGTGAGAGTGCCTGGTGATTCAGCTGCATGTCACATCAACAGCCAGGGCTGGTGCTGGGTTAGGTAGGGTACCAGGTGGCTATCTGCCTTCCTGAGCTACTCCATGCACCACTGGTAGCAGCACCGAGGGACTGGCAGCACCAGAGACATGGTGACACAGAGAGCAAGACGTGTCCGAGTCAGACCAGCTTGGTGGTCAGCTAACAAAGGTACCCTTCCCTTTGTCTCAAGGGGACAAAAAACCCAACCAACCCAAACCCGCAGCTGTAGCTATATAAAGGGAAGCACTGAATAATTTTAGTATTCAGAAAGGCATGTGGCCCATGTGAAGCCACATATCAACTAGGAAATGCAAGCAGTCACTTTCAAGTATGAAGTGTAACTAACACAGAAAGCTGAGTGCCATGTTCCTTTTGGAAGCGTTAGTGATTACTCTGCCATCAGCAGGTTGCTAAGATGCTGGATTTCCTGGGAAACAGAGAAATACACAGCTTTAAAACAAAGACAGCTTTAAAATAAGGACAGTGGAGAACTCACAAATTGTGTCAACTCTTTTATTACAGTGAAAGCCTGCACGGTACTAGCCTACTGAAAGAATAAATGCTGCAAGTAACTTTTAATCAGAAATGAGTCAATCCAAGGTAAAAATGAACTAGAAGTCATAGCAAATTATAAGGTCTGAGTTGGACCTCTGGCTCTTGTTTCCCATTGGAGTAGGTCCAAAGATCTCAAGGTTCTGATGGAAGTTTCTTCTTTAACAAGCTGGAGAGGTAAAGAGAAGCAGATTAAGGGACATGTTTTCTCTGCAAATTAAACAAGATGCTAGGAAGTGTTTTACCTAGATGCAGGACACCAAAAAAGCAATTTTTTAGCAATTGTTCCCCCTCCGCCCCCCATCTGTACATATATTTTCTAACTATGATTGAGATCAGTAAAACCAAATTATAGTGAATTGTTTCCAGTACAAAATACGCTGTTGGGTGGTTGGAATTGGCTGAGGCTATTGGTTATCTGTGTTATGTATGCTGAAAGGTCAATCCTAATTAAAAAAGTGGAAGTAGGGGATCAGAAATTTCTGTAAGTTTCATTCCACTTTTCTAAAACAAAGCCTTTTATCTCTTGTGATAAAATAGGTGTGAGCTTGGTAGCCGCACCTCTACCATCGCATTAGCTGAGACGTTGAGCTCACACCTGCGCCCCGGCTACCTGTGCAGCCACATTGCCCACAAGTCCCTGGCTCAGATGCATCGTCAACACGCACCCCTCTGTGCAAGAAGCTGGTCTTTTTAGTGTTTAGCCACCTCTTCCCAACTCACGCCCTGGGTGAGGAAGCTCTGCACCCACACCAGGAAGGTGGGGAGACCACATCCTGCTCACTCCCTCGAGCATGGCCTCCCACCACATCGGGCTGGCACAGCGCACCAATCCCCAGCACAGCATTGACCCTGTCAGGAGCCGTGGTGCATCCACAGGGACACAGAGGACGATGCCTCGTGCAGGACGTTACCTTGTTCCACTGTGCGGTGGTAGAAGCACCAGGGGACACCAGCGGGATGTGCCTTGAAGCAGCACCCCTTACTTTCGCACTGCTGAGCCGTGATGCCGGGGAAGCCGCAGTTTATCCTGGTGCTAGGATCAGTGGGACATACTTTCCTAACTGTGTAAAGCAAAAATGAAGGAAGGAAGGAGGCCGTGTTACTTTATGCTTTACCTGGAGGCATAATTCGCAAATGAAAGGCAGGCCATGAAGGTGAAGTCAGTGAGCAGACATGACAGCCTTGATGACCTTCTCCATACCAATTTCAGGCAGCAGGTTCACCAAAATCCTTACCATGCCTCGTAGGCAAAACTAAGTACCAAGGGGTGAGGAATTGCTGCTGTGCCCAGAGACAAGCAGGGGCAAAATTCACTCCTAGAAGTGTCTGGTAAGCAGTGACCCAGCTTTAACTTTCCTAGATCCAGCAATGAAGTGAAAAGCGGCACCACAGACACTGGCCTCGGCTGGGACCAGGGTATATTCATGACCTGATCTAATGTTAACCCCGAAGCAGCCTGGCTGATGCCAGGAGAGGAAAACACAGCCTCCTCTGCCCACCAACTTGAGTTACGGAAAGGAGGTAGGTCATCTAGGAGGAAATCACAGCTCATCCAGGCAATTTAAAGTAAAATCACAGGCAAAGAGGTTATACCACCCAGCCCAAATAATTCAGTTTTCCTCTCCTGAAATAGTTCTGTTCAGAAAAGCAATTCTATGAAAATTACATTGTAAGCTGCTGCTATTTGTTTTTCAAGACATTCATGAAATGCAAACAGTGTTCAAAAGCAAAATTATTTTTTCCTCTAACAATTCTGAGCCCTGTTGACTATTCTTGATTTATATCAAGTTCTTTTACTGGGTAACGTTGCCTTTGCACCCTCTCATTTCACTTGTGCAACTGCGGAGATTGCCCTCAAGTTCTCCTAAGAAGGAGCTGTGCAATCAGCCCAGCCAATGTAGCTTATGGTCAGGAGTTACCCACAATACACACCCAGTCCTTGAAGGGCTGGGAGAGCAGTTCTTACCCAATCTGAGAAAACAAAGGCAAAAAATGGAAGCGGGAGTTTAGAAGCTTTAGAAGGAAGACTAATGGAGAAAAGGATTTCTCCTGAGAATATTCTGGAGGTTTCATTGGATGAAGACTGAGAGCGAAAATGGGAGAGAAAATGAGAACCACCGAGTGGAATTATGCTGGGAAACAGGAAAGAAGTAGCAATTATCAAAACAGGCTTGAGAAAAAAAGCAGAAAGCCTACTAGAAGTTACAGCATGTCTGTTGTTTCTCGTACAGGTGTCAAACGACCACAGATGGGCTCATCTACTTGGAACTTTCTGATTTCTTCGACATGTGGTGCTGAAGTCCTCCTGAGTCACACAGAAAACCCATTTAAACTGCTGAGGATCCCTTGCTCCACTGATTAACCAGACCACAACCAGCAGTGAAATGTTTTTAAATAATCAGCACAGGTTGTTTGATAACTAGAAGCCTGAAGGAAGAGGAAATACCTTGTGTGAAGAGGATGAGATAAAAGACTGATGGGTAAGCAAGGTTTGACTTTTCATTTTACTACCAGTGGTCATCTAGGAGAGGTTTGTGCTCACTTTGTTGGCCTAAGAAGAAAAGCTGAGCTGCTTCCCCTTGTACACATTTCTGCATAATCAAACACTAGGTCAATCAGTGTTTCTGGTAGAGATATTACCTTTCTTTTCTTTAGGAGCAAAGCACCAGGGAAAGCCAAAGACTGAATCGTTGAAGCAGCATCCAGCTTTCGCGCACTCCACTTCTGAGATTCCCGGGTAGCCGCAGTTTCTCCGCTCCCTGGGGGCCACTTTACACTGGCATTTTGCTGTTCAGGACAGAAGTAGTGAGTTACTGGGTGTCAGTTTGCACACTTGTTAGCGGAGGTGCAT